ACCGGCTCAGTCAACTCCAGAGAAACAGTTGGGAACGCTCAGGAATTTTGGGCTGGTCCCGGTGTTGTAGGCGGTTTTTTTCGGTGAATCCTGAACGGTTGCTGTAGAGGAATAGGCAACGGTCGGATGGGTTGGGTCGGGTGCCCGTTCTGGTGGCGTCCGAAAGTCTGACCGGTTCCCTGTTCTCGGGGGAAGTTTGATATTGATAATGACCAGGTCACAGAGTACAGTTGGTAGAGAAGTTTCCGGGTCAGGTCAGACCAGGTCCACCATCCTGATCCAGTAGGCTATTCTGGTAAAATTTGGACCGGTTCCCATAGGGGAATAGGCAACGGGTGGGCACAGTTATAAATTAGAACCGGCTCCCTGTTCTCGGAGAAGTGTGATGATGATATTGATCAGGTCACTCATAGGGTTGGACCGGATCCCTGTTGTCGGAGAAGTTTGCGGGTCAAGTCGGACCAGGTCCACCATCCTGGTAAAATTAAGACCGGTTCCCCTAGGGGGAATAGGCAACGGGTGGGCACAGTTATAAATTAGAACCGGCTCCCTGTTCTTGGAGAAGTGTGATGATGATATTGATCAGGTCACTCGTAGGGTTGGACCGGATCCCTGTTGTCGGAGAAGTTTCCGGGTCAAGTCGGACCAGGTCCACCATCCTGGTAAAATTTGGACCAGTACCCCTAGGGGAATAGGCAACGGGTGGGCACAGTTATGAATCAGAACCGGCTCCCTGTTCTCGGAGAAGTTTTATGATGATATTGATCAGGTCCGGATCCCTGTTGTCAGAGAAGTTGACCCAGACCAGGTCCACCATCCTGGTCTAGCAGGCTGTTCTGGTAAAATTTAGACCGGTTCCCCTAGGGGAATAGGCAACGGGTGGGCACATGGGTCGGATGCCCGTTTCGGTGTTACCAGCAATTGTTATAAATTAGAACCAGATCCCTGTTCTTGGAGGAGTTTGATATTGATATTGACCAGGTCAGTCAGTTGGATCAGGTCCACCATCTTGGTCTAGTAGGCAGAAATCGAACCGGTTCCCTTGGGGAAAAAGGCAACAGGCAGTCACGTGGGTCAGATGCCCGTTTTGGTGTCACTGGAAATTGTTATATATTAGAACCGGCTGCCTGTTCTCTGAGAACTTCCCTATTAAATCTGAGCAGGTCACTGGTACGGTTGGCCCGGTGTGGTAGGTCGTTCTGGTCAATTTGGACCGCTTCCCCAACCAGGGAAAACTTGGGCATGTGTGTCAGGTTATCGCCAATTATGACATTTTGACTTGTTCTGGAGTAGTGTTAGACTGTTACATTTCACCGGATCATTTGTATGGTGGGACCAGTGCCACCATCTTGGTGTCATCACCAGAAGGCAC